AAAAAAATAGAAACTATCTAAATTTTCGTGTCAATCTAATATCCAATATTTGAGTTGAATTAATTCCATTTCAAATCTGAAATTAAAATTTATTCTGTCCAAACCCATGTTAATCAAATTGCTGATCACATCATAATTGGTTACTTCCATACAACCTAAAAGTTGACAAGTTGGCGAGGGTTTTAAATATACACAACATTTATTTAAGGGTAACCCCATTGACTGACCTTGGTTCCCTACTTTATAATTTTACTATTAATTTCCGTACTATCTTATAATATTTGAATAAGAATAAGATGGGCCAAGAGCGCACTTTGATAGAAATTACAAGGGGGAAAATGTCAAAATTTTAAAAGATAATTTATACAATTAATATATAATTAATTAAAATGGACTCAGATCTTTAGGAAAAAGAAAACATGCTTCTGTTTGTCTCTCTCTCAAGGTTAGAATCTCTCTCTCCCCATTGACTCTGCATTTGCATGCATCAGCAAAGGAGACGAGTTCGAGTGGTGCAATTTTTATTACTTTATTTTTATTTTATTTTTTTTAGCAGAAGTTGTGAAGAAAACAATTTTGATGGTAATATATATAAGTAATTAGCTATGTGGGGGTCTGAATTGGCTTTGTGATATAAATATAAGATAAAATTGTAAAACATGCTCAGTAATTTACAACATATGACAATTTTATAGAATAACTTTTAGCAATTGTAGAAATTATCTAATAACAATGAAATCGTGAAGATTCTACCCAAATACTTTCGTTGATATTTTTTTGCAATTTTATGTTATAAGTTAAAAGGGTAGTTTGTATTTTTGGGTATGTTGTGCTCGTTTTTTATTAGCTAGTGGACATTTTCTGAAATTGCGAAAGTTACTAAATAAATTTACCATCTACCCCACTATAATTTACAGAATAATGAAAATTGGTTGTGACTAATAGAAGCACCAAATACAACTTTTCTTATTTTCTGTCGTTACATATAACAATATGTAGCACAATCTGTCTGCAACAAATCTGGTCTTAGTGATTCTGATCAAGACTATATTAAATCCAAATAAGTTTAAATATTGTTATTGAATTTTGAAGAATGATATATATCTTATAGTGTCCAAACAAATGATATTTGGACTTAGAAAATACCAACAGTTCCCAAAATTGATATTTGACTAGTGATTCATAAACTAGAATTCTTGACAGATATTGCTATATGCTATATAAAAAATTAGAAAATTCTTGAGTTTTATAATTTGACCATAGATGGATCTGCCTACGTACGATACAAGAAGTCATGCTGACCCCTCACTTCTTGTTTGGCGTCATTTTTTCACCTTGTTAAATAACAATCTGATCAAGAAGCTTAAAGTAAACAAGTTGTTTAATATCTTAATTCATTAATTACTCACCTGCTCATGAAATCTTTTGTAGTAAACTTCTCCAACTTCACCCTTTTCTTTTGGTTTAATAATTACTTGCTTTGACCTCAATCAAATTAGCCCTTGAAAATGTTCTCAACTACTGGGTCCCAATCAATAAAAAGATAATAATTATATTTCACAGATTTTATTATGAAACATATGCATGTCAACCTGTCATATTCTTTTGACAAAAATATAAATGCTAATGTTAGAGCATCTTAACAATGACTCCTTTTAAACCTCTTTTTACACTTCTCAACATGTCACATTATCCATAACCTCATTCTTACTCTTACACACATAAATTTCTAATAACAACAAACCTCATAACACTACTTTTTATGGGTCCTACATATTTTCTAATTTAGTTTTAATTAATGTATTATTTGATTTATATTTTAAGTAAAACTTTATTTGTTATTATATTAATAAAAAAGCTTCCTCGAATAATTTAAATATATTAAAAATATTAATAGTGTTGCAAAAACATAAGAACATCAATTTTTTTATGTTTCAGTGATTTCAAAAACAAAACCAATTTTTAAATTTTTATAAAACAAAATGTATAGGGTAACAAAAAAAAATTAGAAAAAAAAAAAAAAA